CAGGATAAGAGAGAGAAGAGTAATTTTCGAAATGAAATTAAGCTGTTAAGAAAAGAACTGAAGGAGAGGGAAGAGGCAGCCATGCTGGAAAGCCTCACTTCGGCCCACGTCGTCCTTGCAACGAACACAGGTGAGGGGCAGCTCCGTGCCCACTGTGGGCCTCAGAGAACGGGTTGCGAAGCGGTCCCTCCTCCGTTTCTGGGGACGTTTGTGTAGAATTGGTAGAATTTCTTTCTTGAATGTTGGGGAGAATTCACCAGTGAGGTCTTCTGGACCTGGAATTTTCTTTCTAGGGACGTTATGAACTACAAATTTAATTTCTTTAATAGATATAAGGTTATTCAGATTATCTCTTCTTTTTTTTTATAAAGATGACCGGTGAGGGGATCTTAACCCTTGACTTGGTGTTGTCAGCACCATAGATTATCTCTTCTTGAATGAGCTTTTATCTTTCAAGAAATTTGTCATTTAATCTAAATTGTTTTTTTTGGCTGTTGGCCATTAAGGGGATTTGAACCCTTGACCTTGGTGTTATCAGAACCATGCTCTTGTGAGTGAGCTACCTGGCCTAATCAATTTAGAGGAATAACGTTATTGATAATATTTCCTTATTATTCTCTTAATATCTGTAGAATCTGTAATGATGTCAACTTTCTTATTCTTGATGCTGGTTATTTGTATATTCTCTCTTTTTTTCCTGATCTTCTGGATTGAGGTTTTATTGATCTTCCCAAAGAACCAGCATTTGATTTTTCTCTGTTGTTTTTCTGTTTTCTATTTCATTGATTTCCACATTAGTCTTTATTTTTTCTTGTTTTCTGCTTACTTGGGTTTAATTAGCTGTTCTTTTTCTAGTTTTTTTTCTTTTTTCTTTTTTTTTCCTTTTTGTCTTTTTTACTGACTGGTATCGGGATCGCAACCCTTGGTGTCGCACCCGTACCGGGGACCGGCAACGGGATCGCAACCTCGGTGTTGCGCCCGCACCACGCTCAGCCAGTGAGCAGGAACCGGTCTCCACATGGGATCCGAACCCTAGGTGGGAGCGCTGCCGCGCGGCGCACTCTCCAGTGCGCCACCGGGCCGGCCCCTTTTTTCTTTTTTTTAATGGCTGTCTGGTATGGGGATCCAAACCCATGACTGTGGTGTTACAAAGTTGCACTCTAAACAACCTTAGCTTAAGGTAGAAACTGGGATCGTTGATTAGAGACCTTTTTTTTCTGATATGGGCAAATAAATATCTCCCTAAGTACTGTTTCTGTGGTATCCCCATGTTATATAGTTTCTAAATAGTTGAGGATTTTTCAGATATCTTTTTGTTGTTGATTTCTAATTTAATTTCATGAGGTCAGAGGAAATGCTTTATGAGTTGGATCATTTCATTGAGACTTAGAATATGGTCTCTCTTTGTGAGTGTTTCACATACTCTTGGAAAGAATGTGTGTTCTGATTTTGTTGGAGTGTTTTGTAAATAATCAAATCATTAGGGTTGATAGTGTTCAGGTCTATTGTATCTTTGCTGATTTTCTGTTTACTTGCATTTCTTATTGAGAGAGGGTGTTGAAATCTCTGAGTATAAGTGTACATTTATCTGTTTCTCCTTGTAGTTCTATCAGTTTTTGCTGCATGTCTTTCATGTCTTTGTAAGCTCTTCTATTAGGGGCATAAATGTTAGGCTTGATAAACCAATTATCATTATGAAATGACTTTCTTTGTTCCTGGTGATGTTCTGGTTTTTTTGAAATCTACTTTGATTTTGAAATAACCACTCCAGCTTTCTCTCTTTCCTTTTTATTGTGGTAAAAACACATACCATAAAATGTACCATCTTAACCATTTTTAAGTGTATATATAGTACTGTGGTATTAATTGTATGCACATTGTGCAGCAGGTCTCTAGAACGTTTTCATCTTGCAAAGCTGAAACTATACCATTGAACAACAGCTCCCCTTTCCTCCTGCCCCAGGCCCTGGCAACCACCATTTTACTTTGTTTCTAGAGTTTGATCTCATATACATAAGATCATTCAGTGTTTGGCTTTTTGTGACTAGCTTATTTCTTTTAGTGTAACATCCTTGAGGTTTATCCATGTTGCTTAGCTTTGTTTTGACTAGTGTTAGCATGGCATATCTTTTTCCATCTTTTGCTTATAACCTATTTGTGTCTTTACCTTTCCTCCCCTCCCCCTCCCCTCCCCTCTCCCTCCCCTTCCCTC